CTCCACTGTGCTAGGTACTGTACAAACACAGAACAAAAAGACAAGAGAAAAGCAAACGTGATGCAGATATTGATGAAGGAAAGAAAAGCAATCCTGGGGAATACTGTCCCTGAAGTCTAGCGTCTATCCCTAAAAACACTATGTAGGACATATTAAGTGGACAACAATTCACGAAAAATGGTTTGGGGAACAGAAATAAAAGCAACAGGCAGCACTGAGGTTTATAAATAATCAGTTGGGCCGGACAACATGAAAGCTTTTCGAGATGGAATGGGGAAATGAGTAAATGAAAGGAATCTTGGAAAATAAAGAACTACTTCCTTTAGGTGCCTAAATAGGGGTTGCTGGGTGCTGTGCTCTTTTGAAAAGCTGGCCCAGAAGGAATGCTGTAAGCAGGGACGGCTCCAGGCACCAGTGCAGCAAGCTGCGGGGTGCGGCCTGCCGGTCACTGTGAGGTCAGCAGTCTGGCTGCGTTCGGCGGCATGCCTGCAGGAGGTCCGCCGGTCCCGCAGCTTCGGCGGCAATTCGGCGGCAGGGACACTGAAGGCGCGGCACCAGCGGATCTCCCGCAGGCGTGCCGTCGAATCTGCGTGACCAGCGGACCGCCTGCAAGTGTGCCGCCGAAAGCCGCCTGACAGCCATGCTTGGGGCGGCAAAAAACATAGAGCCACCTCTGGGTGTAAGTACCACAAAGGTTCTAAGCGGGAGTCCTGGGATGTAATGGAGAAAAGGAGAATTTAGGTTGAATGTCAGGCGAAATCTCCTGATGGCAAAATATATTAGACTGTGGATGAATGAAAGGGTCTTATTCTGCATGGAGATCAGCACCCTCGTCTTCCATTAAATTTACTGGGAGGTGATGGTGCTCAGTACGCATCAGGAAGAACACTGGACTTGATCTATCTCCGATTGGGAACCTTTCCACTGATTTCAACACCTACCAGCACCTTGCAGAATCAGGCCCTACACAAAGGATCTGGTATCCTCCAGGCCTGTGTTGCCTTCCAGATAGAGCCCTGCGCGGAACTAGTGTAGAGCCCTGAAGCGGAACTGGGATCCCGTGGGTCCCACAGGACCTGCTGCCATAATAGCAGGACGGGATAGAGCGGGATTAAAAGTAGTCCCATGCAGGGCTCTACTTCCAGTGGCTACTGATTCTCAGTTTGCACTGCAGGGCTAGTATCAGACACATTTCTGCTGGGCAGGGCCGTCCTTAGGATTTATGGGGCCCTACGCAGTATTATTAAACTGGTGCCCCTATGCCCTATGGCAGCCCGAGCTCGCAGCCCAGTGGAGCGGGGGCAGGGGGGGAGGGATGAGGCAGCAAAGGATAACAAGATGCCCAGCCCGCCTCATGGTGGCAGAGTAACAGTTCCCCGCAGAGACCCCCGTACCCTCTCCCTCATGCAGAATGGACATGCAGAAGGTACCTAATTAAAAGCACTAAACTTGGGAATAAAAAATGTCAGTCACAGGTTTTTTGATATGCCCTGAAGTTTGTCAGACATTTATTTGCAAAACCTTTGTAGTAAGGGCGAGTCAGCTGTCTTGCTGAATCCAACATTAAATATTATGGAATACATGATGCAGCTCTTCTCTGCTTTACAGTTTCTTAATCATTATTTCTAAGCGGATTTTATATTTTAAATGTACTCGTAAGCCTTCATAAAGTAATCATTCCAGATTACTACATATTTAACTCACTGAAACAAAGACATTATTTTAAATTAATCAGTCACAGAGGTTTAATGTTTTCATAACAATGTTCATTGCTTTTAGAAAAAGGGAACACTAATTTACTTTGTGTGATCTCCATAACAATAGACACGTTTATGAAATTTCACCAACTTTAAAAAATATGTTTCCAAAGATTTTAGGCATAACAAAGGATTTTATATCTTACTAAGGTACTGATTTTGCTGGAGGCATCTCTTAAAACTAGTTCATCAGATTGTCAGAAGTAAAGAAAGGGAAACTCTTTGTCCAGCTATCTGGAAGGAAAGGGGTGTTGTCTCTTTTAGGGCTCTCTTCAGTGGGTGGGCGAGGGAGTGAAGGGAGAAAGGGATGGACAGAAAGGACAGGAAGACTTTGGAAGCAAGTTTTTTTTTACTATAGTAATTAAAATGTGTATTTTAGATAAGGGTGGTCTTTTGAAGGATTTATTTAAAAAACTCTATGTCTGAAGTTCTAAGCATTTAAGGCTAAAGATGATTGTGCATCTAAAAATCTATGCAAGGATTTTTTAGAGATGTGATTTTATAATCTTCACCAACACACTAATGAAATATTTTTAAAGCAATTTTTAAACTAAGGTCCTGTAGACTAACATGTGCTGAGTAAATATTACAGTAATGCACAACTGTTTTTGTCAGTAAATTCAGAAACTGACAGTATATACCTGGGGTTTCGCAAATGCCTGTTAAATGGCTTCATTACCCCTTGAATGGCTCTTTAACAGTTTCAGTGTTGTGCTAATAGGTCTGGCAGGCTGGAGACTTTTTCACTTTTAACTACTAGATCCCCTCCTGAGGAAGAGTCACCAGGCTACAGCAGAGAGCTGTGGGAGCCCGCTGGAAGGGTCAGAACAGGGATAGGAAAAATGGGGGGTAGACACTAAGACCCAGTGGTGCCCCAAATTTTCAGGTGCCCTACGCAGCTGAGTATGTTGCCCATGTCTAAAGATGGCCCTGCTGCTGGGACAAATCAACTTTCTTCTGACTGTACTTGGTGCATTTGCTCCTGAAGTCAAGGTCAGTTTTAGGGAAGGACTCTATTTGCAAATGATCTTCTGCTGCATGTCTCTCCACAGATATCATAGGATGAATACCAGAGCATGGCCAATTATACCACAATGGCTGAGTTCATTCTCTTGGGATTCTCAGATTGTCCAGAGCTGCAGGTCACCTTCTTTGTGTTGTTCCTCACAATCTACCTTATCACCCTCATGGGGAATCTTGGGATGATTGCATTAATCAGGATGGATTCCCAGCTTCACACGCCCATGTATTTTTTCCTCAGCCACTTGTCCCTGGTAGATGCCTGTAACAGCTCAGCTGTCATACCCAAGATGTTGGTGAACTTCTTAGCAGACAGCAAAGCCATCTCCTACATCAGCTGTGCTGCACAAATGTATTTTTTTGTTATCTTTGCAACTGCTGATCTCTTGCTTCTGTCGGCAATGGCATATGACCGGTATGTAGCTGTGTGTAACCCACTACTCTATACAGCTGTCATGTCCCCCAGAGTCTGTGCCCAGCTGGTGGCTGGCTCATATGCTTGCAGCGCTGTAAGTTCTATGATACACACGTGTTTTACTTTTAGCTTGTCCTTTTGCAGTTCCAACATCATCAGTCATTTTTTCTGTGACATCCCCCCACTCTTAGCACTCTCCTGCTCCGATACCACCATCAACGAGATGCTGCTCTTCATCTTGGGAAGCGTGGAAGCAACCATTTCTCTCCTGATCATCCTTGTCTCCTACCTGTACATCCTGGCTGCCATCCTGCAGATCCGTTCTGCCAAGGGGAGGAGAAAAGCCTTCTCTACCTGTACCTCCCACCTGACTGTAGTCACTATGTTATATGGAACTCTTAGCTTTATGTATTTACGGCCCAGTTCCAGCTATGCCCTCGACCAGGACATGGTGGTGTCTGTGTTCTATACAGTGGTGATCCCCATGCTGAACCCACTTATCTACAGCCTGAGGAATGCAGAAGTGAAGGATGCCCTGAGGAGAGTGATTAGGAGGAAAATATGTCCTCATTTGATGTGATTTGTGGAGAATCAATAAAGAATAAGTGGCACGTGCTCCATAGGGCTGCTGGTGCCTCCATTAATTTCAGGGAGTTTCTTTGTTCTAACATATCCACTGTATAAGGAAGTAACCATTGATGGGCCAGTTGGTATGAATCACTGTAACTCTCTTGGCTTCAATGGGGCTATGCCGATTTACCTCAGCCAAGAATCTGGCACATCAATGCGACACAGTGGGTAAAATGTGCACTGCTCATCCTGGAGCAGGGAACCCAGATCTTTCAGGCCCACATTTTCAAAAGAGGCCTTTAATTTTATACGCCTCCATTTTTTAGATGCCCAACTCCAGACACTGAAGGTCTGATTTTCAGAGGTGCTGTGCGCTCCATAAGAACCTAAGAATGGACATACTGGGTCAGACCAAAGGTCCATCTAGCCCAGTATCCTACTTCCAACAGTGGCCAATGTCAGGTGCCCCAGAGGGAATGAACAGAACAGGTAATCATCAAGTGATCCATCCCCTGTCGTCTATTCCCAGCTTCTGGCAAACAGAGTCTAGGGACACCATCCCTGCCCATCCTGGCTAATAGCCATTGATGGATCTAGCCTCCAAGAATTTATCTTGTTCTTTTTTGAACCCTGTTATTGTCTTGGCCTTCACAATATCCTCTGGCAAAGAGTTCCACAGGTTGACTGTGCTTTGTGTGAAGAAATACTTCCTTTTGTTTGTTTTAAACCTGCTGCCTAGTAATTTCTTTTGGTGACCCCTAGTTCTTGTATTATGAGGAGTAAATTAAACTTCCTTATTTACTTTCTCCACACCAGTCATGATTTTATAAACCTCTATCATATCACCCTTAGTTGTCTCTTTTCCAAGCTGAAAAGTCCCAATCTAATTAATCTCTCCTCATACGGAAGCTGTTCCATACCTATGATGTAGTTTCGAAACAATGGGAACTGAGTGGTTTCAATGCTTCTGGGAAAGAAGGCCTTCAGTATCTTAAGCTGGACACAAAAATGGAGGTGCCCAAAATGAGAGAAGGTTTGAAAATGTAGGCCCTGAAGTTCATGTGTGCCACAGAAGTGGAGTTGATTGTACAAATTAGGGACAAAACCATGTGGAAGAGAAAGGAATTATTTGGGCTGTTTAGGACTGAGGGGCATCAGAAGAGCTAAGGGGGCAGGGAAGGGAGCCCAGGACTGGCATAGCAGTGGGGCTGCAGGTCAGGAGGTAGGGACATTAGCAGAGCACTATGTGTGGGGAGCCCAGGATTGGGCTAGCAGGGGGGCTTGTGTGTCCTGATGAAGGGGCATTGTCAGAGCTGTGTGTATGAGGGTGAGATTTTTCTTACCAATTTGCCTGAGGCGTTAGGTGATCAGGCTGAGGCCACAGGATCGTTTGGGGAGGAGATGACGAAACACACCAAGTGTCTAAGTTTTAAAGCTTTATTAATAAAATAATAAAATAACAGCGGAGAGTGATGGGTGCTTCCCACGTTACTTAGAGGAAGGAAGAAAGCATTAGTGCCCCAAGCCCTAACCCAATTTCATACTCACACATGCTTTACCTGAGGCTGGCCAAGCCTGAGTGTAACGTAAGAAGAAGATGGGGAAGGGTGGACGGGAGTTCTGTTCTGGGCCCAGGTTGTCCAGGGTCTGCTGTAATTTCTGACTTGCTTTGGCTTTTGGGAGGTGTCATAACTATGAAGGGAAGGGTAACAGCTCTCTGTGTACAGAGACTCCAAATCCTTTTACCTGTAAAGGGTTAAGAAGCTCGGGTAACCTGGCTGACACCTGACCCAAGGACCAATAAGGAGACAAGATACTTTCAAATCTTGGGGGGGGAAAGGCTTTTGTGTGTGCTCTTTGTTTTAAGGTTCGGTTCGCTCTTGGGACTGAGAGGGACCAGACATCAATCCAGGTTCTCCCCATCTTTCTAAACAAGTCTCTCCTATTTCAAACTAGTAAGTAAAAAGACAGCAAGGCGTCTTAGATTTACTTTGTTTTCTCAACTTGTAAATGTACCTTTTTACCAGAGTGTGTATCTTTGTTTGCTGTACTTTGAACCTAAGACAGAGGGGGGTCCTCTGAGCTCTTTAAGTTTGATTACCCTGTAAAGTATTTTCCATACTGATTTTACAGAGATGATTTTTACCTTTTTCTTTAATTAAAAGCCTTCTTTTTTTTAAGAACCAGATTGATTTCTCCTTGTTTTAAGATCCAAGGGGGTTTGGATCTGTATTCACCAGGAGTTGGTGAAAGGAGGGTGGAAGGAAGGAGGGGGGATGGTTAACTTCTCCTTGTTTTAAGATCCAAGGGGGTTTGGATCTGTGTTCACCAGGGAATTGGTGAAAGGTTTCTCAAGGCTTCCCAGGGAGGGAATTCTTGTGATGGTGGCAGCGGACCAAAGCTAAGCTGGTAGATAAGCTTAGAAGTTTTTATGCAGGCCCCTACATTTGAACCCTAAAGTTCAAAGTGGGGATCCAGCCTTGGGTTTTAAGTCCTGGGTGCCTTTGAGGGTGTTTCTGTTCAGGGCCCTCTGTTCCTGGTGCTTTTTGTACCAGTCCAAACCCGCTTGCTGTGGCCTTCTTGGCTTTTTAAAACACACCGGCTTTAGATACTTTGTTTTTCCCCCTGTTGGCCTTTGCTGTTTTATTTGTTTTTATTGTTTTTATTGCTATTTTTGCAGGCCTGCTTAACTTTTTTTTTTAAATTATTATTATTTTTATTTTTTTTTATGGCTAGATAGCTGTAGATTTCTTGTTGCGCCCATGACCTTGGACCCTTTTTTTTAAACATGGAGCTAGCTAAAGTGTTGAGTTAACCCATTCTCTGCTCTCTTCCTCCTTCCTCCTCTTTGGCCTCTTGCAACCTGCCAAGGAATCTTCCATTTCACACTCACACCATTGACCCTCCCCCGAAATGCCTTGCCCTCCACTCTACACTTACACCTTTGACCCTCCCCCGAAATGCCTTGTGATGCTTGCAACCGCGTTAGCAACATACAATGCTGATCTGCCTCCCCATGGGACCCCGTGAGGGAGGGAGTCCTTGGGCCTGTGACAGTCCCCCCTTGACCCCGAATCAACATTTTGTTGTGAGGGGTCACCATTTCAGTTTCCACCCTTCCTCTGACACGGTGGCTAGGGTTACTATCTGCACTTATGCACTTAATTTTTGCTTTTAAAAACAAACAGTGATTTGAAAAGGAAAACACAACCCTTTATGGCTCCCTTTGGAGCCCTTATAGTATTTTAACTAAGTAGCATGGTAGGTTTGCATTTTTAATTTTTTTTTAATAATATATACTGCATATGTTTTGGGGAAAATGCACATTTTTTATAATTTAATTTTTATAATATTAGCCATATTAATTTTTACATAAGGTGTACCTGTTTTTGTGCTTATAAAATTTTTATGTACCCTTGGCAAAGTGATAGTTTGATTACCCAGAGCCACCTCAAGGCTCAGTGTGGGGCACTGTTGGTTTTTTTTATTACAGCTTTTATTTGCTATTTTGTTACCAAAAAACAAATTTAATTTTTTTTTTTGGCTTTGACTGCTTTGTTGCAGCCATGACTTTAGTTTTTATTTAAAAACATTTTAAATTTTGTAAAGCATTGTGTTACCCCTTAAGGGTTAAATGCCAAATACCAAAGCCAAACAACACTCTAGTTACCTGTGTTCGTCAAAAAACATGTTTTGGTTTTGCAATTTTGAATGAAATATTTAAATGGATTTTAGTGGTATTATTTAAAAACAAAACCAATTTATTTTGTTTGTTTTTTAATATTTTTATACTACTTTAATTTTTACACAGCTTATATAGATTACATTTATATTTATTTGGGGCAGTTACGTTTTAATAGACACCCCTTATGTTTTTTTAGCAAATTTGACTAAATTGTTTATAGTCAAATGATTTAAATAAGATTGGTTTTTTTTGCTTGGCTTATTTACAGACTTTTTTTGGAAATGCCCCCCCCCTTTCTTTTTTTTTTATTTTTTTTTCAAAGAAACCAAGACTTTTTAAAAAATATTTTTAAATTTTTTAACTGCTTAGTTTTTTTTTTGCATTTACAGCATTAACTTTTTATTTTTTTTAATTTACTTGCTTATTTTTTAAAATGACACTCTAATTAACTCAGATTTTATTATTTTAAGTACTGTTTTAGGGATTTAAATTCCCCATCTCTGCACTTACTTTTTTCTTTACTTTTGCTACTATGCCCTTAGGGTCCTCACCGCCCTTTGAAAGAGGCAGCAGGGTCCCTTCCCTCTTTGCCGCCTCTCCCGTGGCTCGGTATCAGGTTCACCTGCCTCCCGTGATGCCAGCTGACCGGGTAGCTGGACTACCATGTCCGTGCTCCCTAATGCCCTTACGTCCGGCCTTGAACCCATCGTTGATGCTATCGCCCACGACTGCGGGACTCCTGAGTCCGTAGCTGTACCCTTCTGTTTTCTGAACATATTATAACAAACCATTAGTAACACTCTTGAGATTTCACGCTGTCCACACCGACCGGCACCGGGGTTTACAATGCTCACCCTCCTGGGCTGGAGGGAGAGATGCTAAGCCTCCCTACGTATTACTCGGTCCTCTCTACCACCGAGGGTCCATATACCAAATGCAAAACCCTTCCCGGGCAGAGCGAGAAACTCTAAGTTCTCCTTTTATACTCAGTCATACTACAACTGAGGGTGTACACACTGAGGATTGTTTCCTTGAAGCGAGAATCTCTAAGTCCTCCTCCTATGGCCCGGTACTGCTAGGACTGGGGGTAGACCCACCTGCACCCTTCCCACACCGACCGGGATGGAGAGAGGAATGCTAAACCTCCCTCCGGTTCTTAGTCATGCTACGACTGAGGGTGGGGCTCACCTTTAATCATAAAATTCTCAACAATGCCAGACAGAGCAAACATGAAATGCCAAGGGCAGAACAGTTGGTGCGCTCCGCAGGGCCCCCCCTCCACAATTCTCCACCAAAACTGTGACAGATTTCTGTTACCAATTTGC